CCAACGTTTAGTGGATGCCAAATACATTTTAAAGTTTTAACACTACTGACCCATCAGGCAACAAAGTGAAAGTGACCCAGAGTGTCATCCCTTTGCAGGTATTCTGCTAACCACAAAGTCAAGTGCTCAACATTTCCATTAGCTCTTTAGAGCTTGAGTGCTTTTCTGCTCCTCTGAAAACTGAGCCCTGACATTTATCCGGATGGGATGCCTCGCCAAGTGACAAGGTTTTAAATGATCATTGAATAATGTTCCTCTTAGCATCAGGAAGGAATTTGAAGTGCCACAGGAGGGAAGGGAGGAAGGGAACATTTCTGTAGATGCCACTGACAAAAAACAATCTAGTAGTAGAAGGTTTTCTTACTTGCCCAAGAACCTGTAAAAGTGAGGTCTTCAGAATTACCTTGATAAAAAGAAGACATATTTTATTAGTTTATACAATGGTAAGCATAAGTAAAAAATATTTTTATTTTTAAAAAGCCAACTTAAGTATTAGAATGTAACAGCATAATACTTAATAATATACATAAACACAGAAGTACAGCAATCCCATAACTAAAACGTACAACTTACTAATTTTTAAAACACAGATGTTTCAATTTTTTCTTAGAAATGAGTCTAGCTTTCAGTACTGCTCCAGCTGTTGCACAATAATTGGAACATGCACCACATTTACAAAAAGGCCAAACAGCCCATCTTTAGATTTGTTTAGTATTTATTTTCATTAATTACATATTTTAAAATACATATTTTAAAAGACTGAATTATGCAAAAATTACACAGCAATGCAAACTAGCTATAAAATAAATTTGTATTACTCACTTCATAGTGACAGTCTGAAGAAGAGTAAATATTCAACTCTGGAATCCTGCTGTCATTCTGAGGCTGAGCAATATGCAGTTTTGCAGAAATCTCAGTCAAAGATGGAACTCTGAAACAGCAACTCAACTTGTAACTGTTGTCCTTATAACCAAAAAAAGAAACCCCAAACATGCCTTAGTCTTCAGCAAGTGCACATAAAGCAGACCTAGTAGACAAGTGTCACCACAAGCTATGAGCAAAATGGTATAATGAACTTGTTCATACTGTCACAAAGAACAACGTAATACTCTCAATCCACTGCCCCCTGACTCATGAAGGGACACGGTACTAATGACAATAGACAAGTCTAGCATTAATGTCCACACTGCCTCACAGAACATGTAAATATGCTGAGTAACAAGAATGGGAAGGACAATTCTCAAGAATACAATTCAGTTTCCTGCAAGTATTAAGCTGTTAGAAAATAGAAGGGGGGGAAACAGGGAGGTATCCTTAGGGCAGGCAGTTTTCAAACCATCTAAAATCATAGAATCATAGAATGGTTTGGGCTGGAAAGGACCTTAAGATCATCTAGTTCCAACCCCCCTGCCATGCGCAGGAACATCTCACACTAAACCACGTCACCCAAGGCTCTGTCCAACCTGGCCTTTAACACAGCCAGGGATGGAGCATTCACTACTTCCTTGGGCAACCTATTCCAGTGCCTCACCACCCTCACTGGAAAGAACTTCTTCCTTATGTCTAACCTGAACTTCCCCTGTTTAAGTTTGAAGCCATTACCCCTTGTCCTACCACTACTTTCCCTAATGAAGAGTCCCTCCCCAGCATCCTTATAGGCCCCCTTCAGATACTGGAAGGCTCCTATGAGGTCTCCACGCAGCCTTCTCTTCTCCAGGCTGAACAGCCCCAACTTTCTCAGCCTGTCTTCATACAGGAGGTGCTCCAGCCCCCTGATCATCCTCGTGGCCTCCTCTGGACTTGCTCCAACAGCTCCATGTCCTCTTTATGTTGAGGACACCAGAACTGTACACAATACTCCAAGTGAGGTCTCACGAGAGCAGAGTAGAGGGGCAGGATCACCTCCTTTGACCTGCTGGTCACACTTCTTTTGATGCAGCCCAGGATACGGTTGGTTTCTGGGCTGCAAGCACACACTGCCTGCTCATGTCAAGCTTCTCATCAACCAACACCCCCAAGTCCTTCTCCTGTATCATTTGATTTTGTCAGGACTATGCTGCTGAAGCAACTTACAGCTGCTGGTGATCCAAACTCTGGCTTACAGGAAGAAGCCAGCATCCATAGCACCCTCTAATCCTCACTCACGAAGGGTCAAAGATTATGCTGAGAACTTGAGACCAGCAAATCTGACTTCCTTTTTGAGCAGATTAGTGGGTACTATTAAACAAATAGTGAATATTCTTATTCTAAGGAAAAGTCAAAATGACTTTGTCAACAAGGGCAAACAAGTATATGAGGAAAAGATGCAGAAGCCAAACTCATGACTGAAGAAGTTATATCAGAAATATTACCACAACAGGATGCAATCTTCCTTCAAAAGCCTATCAAGAAATAAGTTATAATTGTTGAAGTCCTTACTTCGCTACAGTTATGGAGTCTTCATGTGACCAGGGTATATGAAGCCTGTAAACACTAGGTTTTCTTTCTGAAATGGAAGAGAGTTAAAAATATAAATTTAAAAAAGAACAAGATGTGGCAACCATCTCCAAAAGCTAAATGCAAGTAAAACAAAGGTGGCATGTAGATCACTATACTGAATCACTGGGCTTGCAGTAACATTGCAGCTGACATTGCAGTGCAAATCAGTGCAGTTAGCATTGAACAAAAATGACATTTTTTAACTCATGTTGTTAGAGAAAAAGACAGAGAGACATCAAATGTTCAAAGGCAGGACAGTTATGAGAAAACATCTAGTTTTCAGCACAAAGCTGTAGCTTCAAGCTAATAAATCCATCGGGTTTTTTTTGGAAACAAACTCCTTTATCATCCCATTTTGTTTCAGTTTATGTAGCTCAATATTCAAATTTGAGCCCCAGAATTAGCAAATAAAAATCCTAGCCAGATGTTCTGTTCTTAAGAAACACTTCCAACATAACGCAGCATCCTACTGAAAGTTAAACTTCCCTTTGCTGGGAAGTAAGAAAAACAAACAAAAGAGGACTAATTCCACATTTTCTTTGAGCTATCCTTAACAACAAGTGGAAGTGAGAGACATTAGCAGAAAAATTTGAAGAGATTACAACAGTACTTCCTAAGCCCCACTGCATGGGAGGACTTTTGCTTCCACCAGCTTCTGTCTTGAGAACTCTCCTGGTTTCCTCTGGGATAAAGTTAATTTTCTTCCTAGTAGCTGGTGCAGTGCTGTATTTCAGCTTTAGTCTGAGAACAGTGCTGATAACACACTGATAGTTTAGTTCTTGCTAAGTAGCACTTGCCCTAATCAAGGACTTTCCTGTCTCATGCTCTGCCATGAGGAGGGGCACAGGAAGCCAGGAGGAAGCAGAGACAGGACACCTGACCCAAACTGGCCAAAGGGCTATTCCATACCACAGCACGTCATGCCCAGTATAGAAACTGGGGGGAGTCACTCGGAAGGCCAGATCGCTGCTCGGGTCGGGCTGGGTATCAGTCAGTGGGTGGTGAGCAATTGTATTGTGCATCACTTGTGTTTCTAGGGTTTTATTTCTCTCCCTCTTTTTGTTGTCTCCCTTTTCATTACTACTACTATTATATTTTACTTTATTTCAGTTATTAAACTGTTCTTATCTCAACCCACAGGTTTTACCTTTCTTTTCCTCACAATTCTCTTCCCCAACCCACAGCGGGGTGAGGGGTGAGCATGGTACTTAGTTGTGTTAAACTGAGGGGTTGAATCACAACACTTAAACTTATATTTTAGAAGACTTACACTTACCTTTAAGTGACTGGCAGTGGCCCTCTATATAAATTTTGAAAGCTTGATATATCTAGAGCATTAAGAAAAAAAGGAAAAAAAGAATCATTTGCATTCTCCAAACAGTGGTTACATTACCCAAAAAAATTAAGTAGTATTCTTACTCGGTTGAAGTGCTGGAGCTGTACATTGTAAAGTAAGCCAGTTGAATTTAATAGAATTTTGCTTGAAGAAAGCCCTATAAAGGATGTATTATTTGCACATATTAGATAAAATTATTTGAGAACTCACTGCATCTTCTGATAATTTTTTTTCCAGGAGACTCATGTGCTTCTATATATAGTAGTCAAAACCCCCACATTTCTTATTTGTCTGTTACTAACAAAAGTAGTATTAACTTCAGTAAAAACAAGCCACAAAAAAACCCCTCCTGATCATTGGAATTTTTAGGCACATTTACAATCCAAATATTAGTAATATTAGTTTTCCATTTTTTTCCCAAAATTAATGAGCTATACTTACCAAATGAAAACAGATGTGTTACAGGAAGCTGTACTGTTCTGGAATCCTCTTGGAAGAATTCACAGTCCAAAGTATACTGCAATTCAGGATATTAAATAGAGATCTAAACCAAGCACAAGACCATAAAGCCTTTGCATTTGCCAGATTCTATTCACGGGCTCAGGGAGAGTCACAAATACTGAAAAGCCACCTCTCTGCACTGCACTGATAGTGTGAATACACAGCTGGCAGATAGTTTGTTCCTGCACACAGCTGTACAAGCTTGGGTGGCTTAAGCATGACTTCCAGGTTACTTTAGCTCTCACCCAGTTTCAACAGCCTTCAAAAGGCTATTCAAACAGCTGAGAATGACTAGAATCCAGTTCACATCCCTGCTTCTGGGGTACATCTTTTTTTTACTGGGGGCACTGGGGAGGTTTGAAAAGGAGAGCGACTTCTCCAAGCAAAATTGTATCTCTGGATACAATTTCCTAAGCAAAAAGAGCCTTTAGTTTTTCCTCCAAAAAGTTTCATCAGGCAAAAGCAAACCACATATCCAG